TAAACTATAACACTTGTCCCCAAATCTTAATTTTGCAGAATTTTTTCAGCTAATTGCAGTTTCGAACATGCAAATCACTCAGCACGCTTCAGTTTTGATATGCTTAACCGTTTGGTCACCTTGCCTATTTGACCAGATCTGTTGCTGGTAACTGAGATCGAACCCACAACTCACTGCTCGAATCATGGTACTCTGAAACGTACCCACAGAGCCACCCTGCCACTAGCATGCCATCATTCATTGGTACGAAAAAATTATTTTCAAATGTGTGCAAAATCAATGGCATCATTTGTTGACTTAAAGTGATACATTTACGTAATCTGGTAGAGAATATAATATTCATGCACATCAAAATTTGCAAGCATCAGGAATGGCATGATCCAGTATGACAGCATAGCTGTTTAAGTAATATTGTACCATTTATAAACAAAGTTTATGAAACATATCAATGATGAGAACAACATGTATATATGTGCTGATTTTCTGGAAAAAAATGTTTAAATTAATGTTCTGATTGAATATTTATGAGGAAATTATGCTAATAAAGTGCTATTTTATGCTATTAGAAAACACAATATCATTAGAAAACATTTTTTGAAATCTTATCAGTTATTTGATTTATTAGAACGATGTAATTGAATAATGAAAATTAACTGCAAATAAGTTCAACTGTATGCCAAGTAAATAAGAAAAATCAAGTTTTAATATGAACTAATAATGTGCTGAAAATCATTGATTCCAGAAGCACAGAAACTGTAATTATCTCTCATTCAGGTCTTTCAAAACGTTTGACTCTGCAGATCTCTCCCCCAGGTAATGAGACGCCGGACGCGAGTCCAGACGTAAATTTGTCCGAGACGATAATGAGCAATGCTGTTGGCACTTGGCAAGTTGGCAACATTCTTTTATGTTGCGTTTTCAACATAACCAAATACATTGTGATACTTTTTGCCTATATTAATATGTAATCCTTATTTTTCAACCCATCAATGGTTACTCATGCTGTATGCCGTAAAAAATACTGTATAATAATACATCACATGTATGATCAACTAATTTGCAGTTGATTAAAAATTTTCATCTTTATTATTGTATGATTAAAATGTGTACCTTTGTTTTGTAAAAAACATCGGTTCTTGAATAAGTTTTTAGTAAGAAATATTATATTATTAGAGTAGTACTACATTATATAAAGTAGCTGCTCACATCCGTATCGTAGGAGACGGAAGTCACGGAACTGTTAGCTTGCACTGTGGAGTTGAAGAAGGTGCGATGGATGCAGTAATTCAGTGCACTAAAACAATTTAGGTGTTTATTTTCTATGCTCAAGGATTATGGCAACGTAATGATTAATCTTTTTTAGACGAAATTGAGATGTTAGTCGTTTAAATGATGAATCGTGAAAACATAGCAATTCCGTGAGAATGTCCAAGATCTCTTACAAAATCCGTGCAATGGCGGTTCGGTGTAATTCCGTGAGAATTTTGAAAAGCAGTACTTCTGATCATAGTGGCGAAGCAGAGAGTTTTTTAGACTCTCCCTCAAGTTCATTTTTGAGTTCTATAAGTAGACCAGCAAAGTATCCTGGATACCAGCATTATCTTACATAAGAAAGTGGTTTAAATCTTAAGTAAATGAGGAAATTAAAAATGAACTGATTCTAAAAAAAGCTCTGGTTTGCCACTATGCTTCTGATCATTAGCTAGGTACCTTAAATTTCCAATCGGGACATCACCCATGTTCATGGATCTATTGCTTTGACCTGCGATTTTTGGGAAATTGTGACTTTCATTCCAGGTATGTTTCTATCCTGTAGAATTTTTTTCATTTATTAAGTAAAAAAAATATAAGAGTATAAAAAAATAAAATGAATGAAATCATATGATAATATTAGATTTATAATTGATCATTCCAAATTGTTCTTTTTCAAATAACATACAAGGGATTTATTTGGAAATATAATTTATCCATAATAAATAAAGTTCCAGAATAGTTCCATGTCGATAATTCATGTACAGCAAATACATAATCGTAATGATGATCATCCATTCACATTTGAAAATACCCATTTCATCATTATTGTAACTTGGTTGTTGGTAACGAAGTTAGAATATAAATAAAAACAGTACGAGGCTACGAGCCTCAATATCGAAATGAAATATGGCCAAAGAGCATATTCCAAAATGACTAGGGCTGTTATTACAACGATTATGTGCAATTAATCAATTAAGCCATGGCAAAACACGAGAACACTCGGGATAAATATGACAACAATCATTCGCCATTGTTGATCCAGCCCAACTGAGTAGTTGGGTTTTCAGCCACCAGAGCTAAACAAAAACAAACCAAACAAACGAAAATCGTATGGCGTATAAAGCCGAGGTCACATCATAAAGAATTAAAGTTACGCATGATCCTATAGATGCGTGAAATGTATGTGAGGAATAGTTAAGGTATCTATGTAAATACTCGAGCAAATATAGGCTTCGAGATGTGGAGACAGACTGGGTGAAGTGTGTGAGAAGTGTTCGACACGATGTATCATGTCTTCGTTTTTCTTTAGCTTGTGCACTGAAGAGACTGAATCGACACTTTTGCGGACTCGCCTGCGAACTCGCCTGCGGACTCAGCTCAACCGATGAAAGGCTAAAAATGCTACTCTATGCTGATGATTCAATAATAATGAGCGAAAATGGGGTTGAACTTTAGAGTATGCTAGACTGTATACCTGATTATGACAAGGATTTTAATGTGCGCTTTAGCCGAAAGAAGAAGTCAGCCGAAGTCAGGTGCTAGTTGTGAGAGAAATAGCTGAGGATGTGGATATAGTGTGACAGCTGGGAGGAAATGTGATTGGAATGAGAAATGAGTATTGGTAATTAGGAATGAGTGTTGACCATAAAGGATGTGAGAGAACTAAAGCGCTTAGTCTTAATAATAATAGCTGTTTCAGCGTTTATTAGGCCGTATTGGCCTGTCGCCGATTCTTAACTTCGCAGAACGTTCGCAGCTTGATGTGGTCTCGAACTTGCAGCTCACTGCTACAATTCTGCTGTGCTTAACCGCCCGGCCTCCTTGCCGATTCTGACCAGAAACTGGCGCACAGAGCTGGGATCGAACCTGCGCCTTTCTGCTCCAATCTTGGTACTCTGAACTTTAACCACTGGGCCACCCTGCCCTTAGTAAGACATATCAGTGGTTAGGAATACTGGGATGGATTGCATTGGAGGTTTTGAGAGGAAATATGAGATGGAGTAGTTTAGAGAGAGAAGAATGAAAGCAGCATTGAGATATAAAGTTCGATTGGAAAGAATGGATGATGAACGTTCGGTACCAAAGATGTACCTGTGGAACTTGAGAGTGAGCAACTGGGAAAGTGTCGTGCAATAGTACGCAAGTGTGACTGTGAGTTACTCGAGATATGGGCTTACCCCTGAGCATAATGGACCAAGAGATAAAGACAGTACAGGGAGTAACAGGGATCGAATGGATGTCAAAGAATGGGAGAAAGAAATGAAAAGAGAGGACAGCCTGAGATTGTGCAAGGCGAAAGAGAGGCCAAAGTATTACCTAATGAAAATATGATTGCCGTAGAGTTGGGATCCTAATGTTCTGCGCCAGAGCGAATGCTTTGTGTGTGGATGCACGGACATACAGGTGGAATGAAAGAAAAGAGGATATTTGTTTTATATGTGACACAGGTGAGAGGGAAACTGTGGAGCATCTGATGGCTTGTAATGCATATGAGAGGAAGAGACTGGAAATGATGCGAGTGATACTGGATGAGAGGGGTTAGGGTGTTAAGTACGAGAGACGGGAAACGAAGGGATTGCGATGATAGTGGGTCTGTCAGCGTGGGTGTCTGCTGCCCTGACTGAGTGTGGAAAGCGATATTTGGAGAGTGCATGGAGAATGAGGGAGGGGAGGACGTTTGCGAGAATGGAGGCCGGAAGGGTGTAAAGGGACATAGCAATAATGGACCAAATAAATTCCCTCTTGAATTTCTCTTTCCCCTCTGTTTAATTTACCCTTAACACAAACTTTCCCACCCCTCTGGTTTCTGCTTTTATGTTGTTTCTACCTGGCACAGTCCCCTCCTATTAACATAATGATCATGTGATGCGTGGCAGATGGCCGATGCAAAGGCCTGACTCCTGAAAGACCTATTCAGAGTCTCCCTCGCCCCACATACAAATGAAATATTGTATTGAAAATTTGTCGCAGTGAGACAAGCAAGGTTTTTTATTGATAACCGACAAATTCATTTAGCTGGGCTCAAAATATTTCGAGATAATTGCACCACATCGAATGTATTATCAAAGACATGAATAAGAACTTCTAATGTAATCCGACTATAAGACAAATAATGGAGTAATGAAATAATAAGTTCCAAACATTACAGAGTAAAGTTCGAGTTCGAAACTATGTCCAGAAAATTGCTCACGTTGTTGAAATTTACGACTTTACCGTAATAGTGAGCAACATATATTTGAAATTCTTTCTAACAATATCAGTGGGTAAAAAAAAAATATAATTTTTACATGTTTAGCAAAACTGCTGTGTGAAGCCTGGGTTGTTTAGGTGCGCATCCATGATACTTATCGTGCTGGTTAATTAGTTGGACCTGATATAATTAGATGAAAAATTAAATTTTCCTTATTTAAACGATGTTCGTAAATTTAATGTAACAACGAACGACTTGTTTGTTCTTTATTTTGAGACGAGAGCAAAGTAAAAGTTCGACTATATCCCATGTAAAATGTTGGCTTGAAAGATTTCTTTAATTAGCACACATTAAGTGTATGATTATTATCGCGAGATAACAGAGATTATAGAGACGGGGCAATACTGGGCTAACAAGCTTGTGTGTGCACTTACATTTGCAACGCAGATCGCTGCCATAATTAAAGGAACAAACAATGCCCCGATAACTAACGCTTTTGACCAACTTTTACCTAAGAAATTACAATGGAGATCAGGAATAAATAAAACACATCATATGTCATACAAATTTCAAAATTTTACATCACTCACGTCACACTTCGTGACGTCATTGTAGCAAGTATATATAAGTGCCTCCAGCATCCCATAAGTCAGTCGCAGCCCAACCTCCATACGAATCCACTCGCAATCGTGTCGCTCTAGCCTCCTTATCTATTTCTGTAGCAATACCTAACCATGCCTTATCTTAAATAATTACTAGTTTAGAGCTGCCATTTTTACTCTTTCAATTCCCCCTATAATATCATTTGAACAAATAAACGAAGCGAAACTAACTCAGACACTTTACTTAATTAAAACTCGTCACTGAAACGACACCCGCACAGTACAACTTCCAAGGCAATTGAAGGAAAAATTCAGAGTCACAAACATGTATGGAAGCACCAGGATCCAGTACTCGATAAATGAAATTAAGCGTTAGGTATATGCGAGAACAGTTCTTACACTATAGCAAGTAATGCATAGATAAGGTAATGCCCATGTAGCCAGCTCATTAAAATTTATATACATTCAATTCAGTCAGCTACAAATTCTGTCTTGAAAGCCCTCACACAAGGATAAAATAGAAAGCTTTTATTAGAAATATCACAGCCATTGTTTACTAAGATTTTTATCCTTAAAATGCTATGGTAGCCGCATTTTCTTTCCAGGAGTATGCGGCGACCACCAGTCCTGAGGCATGCGGCCGACATCAGCGAACTCAGAACCAAAACATCCAACGTGCATGACCATCGCAACCACAGGTACGGTAGTCCTCTAATGTTGACTAAATTCATCGCTCCACACCTAACTGAAGAAGTAAACATTCCGTTGGAGATGGGGTCCTGAAATTTTAAGTGATTTTGTAACCAAGTTTGACGGGGAAATCCATGAAACGAGCAAATGCAACGCAATTAAAGTATGAAATATTTTACTAATATCAAAACTCGGGCAAGTAAAACAAACACATTTCGAAAGTAGCGTGAACTAGCACCTTACATGAAAGACATTTATTACTTAAAACTAGATTGTTTTTTATCATAATCTGTGCACGTAAAAGAGCGATCTCATACACTTGGCGTGTCGACGAAGCCCATGGCAGTGACATGCTTTCGAGGGTTTATTGGTATAGAATTATAAAGATCAACACTTGGAACTGAATTGATTGACCATTCTCTATAAATAATCAACATTGTAACTTATAAGAAATAATGTGATACATATGAGAGGAAGAGGCTGGAAATATGAGAGGAAGAGGCTGGAAATATGAGAGGAAGAGACTGAATCGGCCCACTTTGAAGAGACTGAATCGGCCTACTTGGCACATTAATTAATTCGAGCCACTGATGAGGAGCGAGGCGGCGCTGCAGGGCTTAGCTGTGCTGCCTTATCACAGGGCGGGGTGAGGCCTCGGCGAGGGGGGCGTGGGCATCAGCGGGGGCGGGACCTCGAGAGGGTCGTCCGATCTTGTCCTGCAGGAGGCACTGGCAGGTGCAGCCTGTCACAGGACACTCCTCGTGCTCACTGCCCGCAAAAAACAACACTTTGAAACATTCATCAAAATCCTGAGTAACTCTGAAGGTAAAGTCGTCGAGTTCATGATGCTGAAGACGTGAGTGAGGCGTCAGGTTAAAAGCTTAGGTACCTACGTCACGAAGACGTAAGGTACCGCCAAGCCTGCTGGTCATATGAGTGTGTGTAGCTGCACGTGTAGAGGACGGTAGCAGCTCTGACAAATAGTAGCTGTAGACTAGCAAGGACTACACAGGAGAAGACAAAATCCAAAAATTAAGATGATTGCATAGAGCTCCTCTAAATTCTGAGTCAACAATACAGGAGCATCTCTCTAATTTTTATTCTGCTGGAGTAGTGTCGGACAAATTGAAAATAATATTAGCGATCTCATGAGCGAATGCATCATGAAACCTAGCACGATTAGACGATGGACGATTAATTAAGATTGATTATATCAATTGGGGACAATTAATTGAGAACGCGCCATTCAAGTCAACGTAACCGTCACAAAGCAAGCCATGCAAAGGAGAATCAAACACGATCAATCACCACCAAGTAAACCAGCAAGCAACACACAACTAGAACCAACCTGAACCAGTACATGATAATGGTTGGCGTGGCCGCCATGTTTGCATCACCACCAAGTGAACCAGCAAGAACACACAACTAAAACTAACCTGAACCAGTCCATGATTTGGTTGGCATGGCCGCCATGTTTACAGGTCTGGCACCAAGTGAACCAGCAAGCAACACTCAACTAAAACTCTAACCTGAACCAGTCCATGATATGGTTGGCGTGGCCGCCATGTTTACAGGTCTGGCACCAAGTGAACCAGCAAGCAACACGCAACTAAAACTGACCTGAACCAGTCCATGATATGGTTGGCGTGGCCGCCATGTTTGCAGGTCTGGCACCAAGTGAACCAGTTAGCGAAGGGGTTGAGACCAGGCAGGTTGTCGCGTAGCAGAGCTTGTGTGTTGGACGGGATGAAGAGGTGAGAGGGCGCGTTAGGAGCGTCGTCAGAGCCGCTCTTCTCCGCTGCAATCACATTCAATGATCAACATTTATCCGGGGATTACAATCATATATTCAATTAAAAAAACATTTTCATTTCATTATAGAATGTAGATGTAATACTGAAGTAAAATCCATCCAGGGATCATTTGTAAGTAATGATATCCGTATTTTATAATTGAAGAAACATTTTCATTTCATTATCGAGTGTCGATACAGTACTGAACTAAAATCCATCAAGGGATCACTTGTATGTAATGCTATCCGTATTTTATTCTGAAAATTAGATAAAGTTGTGAGGTGAAGAGCTTGTTAAGGAAATTTTCGTTAGGGATACCGTAAGCCATGATATAGGAATGAGTATATTTCACCTATTCCTATAATTGTGATCTAAGAAATCCTTTCTGCTTTAAAACATAATTGCATTCCGCGTAATTATAGTATGATTATAATATATTTTCAATCTTAATACTTTCGAACTTGGCATTTAATAAATTGAATCAGAACTTGTTAATAAGAAATGCGAAGAAGAAATTGACAAATTTTCCATATAACTGACATGAGCTATCAGCTCGCTTAGACAGAAGTCACAGAACATGGAAATCTAACATTGCAGTTTACCCGACATCGAGACAGTCTGCCAGAGACGGGCATCACAGTTTACCCGACATAGAGACAGTCTGCCAGAGACGGGCATCACAGTTTACCCGACATCGAGACAGTCTGCTAGAGACGGGCATCACAGTTTACCCGACATCGAGACAGTCTGCTAGAGACGGGCATCACAGTTTACCCGACATCGAGACCTGTCTCTTATACACATCTAGATGTGTATAAGAGACAGCACGGAACTGTTAGCTTGCACTGTGGAGTTGAAGAAGGTGCGATGGATGCAGTAATTCAGTGCACTAAAACAATTTAGGTGTTTATTTTCTATGCTCAAGGATTATGGCAACGTAATGATTAATCTTTTTTAGACGAAATTGAGATGTTAGTCGTTTAAATGATGAATCGTGAAAACATAGCAATTCCGTGAGAATGTCCAAGATCTCTTACAAAATCCGTGCAATGGCGGTTCGGTGTAATTCCGTGAGAATTTTGAAAAGCAGTACTTCTGATCATGACCTTAAATTTCCAATCGGGACTATACCATACCTGTCTCTTATACACATCTCATTGAATCAATGGGGCACAAAAATTTAGTATACATAGATATTGCATAGTATTACTGCTGCTTTAATAAATCATCGCACGCGCTTCCAAGGTGGTATTGCTACGCAAGCAAATGTGTAGCCTTATATTTATTTTTGTATCTTTAGCGTTCCTTCACGCACTGTTATGTAAATGACAAGAAATTCCGCCCATTTGGAGCACTTTTATGGGTGATTGATAACGAATTTAANAATAAATCGATAAAATATCTTTAATCGGCTATGCGGTAGTCAAATTTATGTTTTAATGTTAGATTTGAGTTCAACTACAGAGTCATTAAGATAAATTACATTGAGAAGAGTTATAAGACAAACCTTATTCTTAGTGTGCTGTTATACAACAGATTTGTTAAGATAACTTAAGATAAATTACATTGAGAAGAGTTATAGGACAGACCTTATTCTTAGTGTGCTGTTATACAACAGATTTGTTAAGATAACTTAAGATAAATTACATTGAGAAGAGTTATAGGACAAACCTTATTCTTAGTGTGTTGTTGCTGCGCTGCCTGCAGCATGCGGGCCAGCTGAGGCTTGTTGGGGCTGTGGGGAAGGCCTGCGTGTGGGGAGGAGATGCTCTTGTTGCAATAGTCACACGCGAGGACCACATGCTGGGGAGGTGGAGGGTCTTGGGGCACCAGCACCACAAGGGCGGCGCGCTCTGCCCACAGCTGTAGGCTCGTCAACAGCTGCAGGTAGCTGCGCAGAGCCATCTTACTTATATGGCTGGATAATTACTTATATGGCAGGATAATTCTTGTACAAACAAACAATGAACTGCATCTCAACACGCCTTGAAACTTCAAAACTTGAACTGTACACTGGACTTTACACTGGTCTGTACATTGTACTGTACTATACTGTACTGTAAACTGGACAGTACCCTGGTCTGTACACTGTACTGTACATTGTACTGTGCACTGGACTGTACAATAACCTTACTCATGGTTCCTCCACTTCAGAATTCAGAAATGTTAAAACTATTGCACTCATTATTAGACAGCTAGAGAAACAAATTTTTAAAGAAATTCTAAATAATAATTACAACCTTTCAAAGCAAAATTGTCGGAATGACGGGCTACACTCTGAATAAAAGTCAGCAGTGGTGATGTATGTTGTGCACGAGATGGTATTGTGATCTTCACAAGAGCTGAGCTATATTCGTGGTGGTCTGGGGCAGCATGTTCTACACAGCATGATCTACACATGTTTTACGCATCATGTTGTACACAACTTGTTTTATGCATCATGTTGTACACAACATGTTCTACATAGAATGTTCTACGCATCATGTTGTACACAACTTGTTTTATGCATCATGTTGTACACAACATGTTCTACATAGAATGTTCTACGCATGTTTTACGCATCATGTTGTACATAACATGTTCTACATAGAATGTTCTACGCATCATGTTGTACACAGCATATTGTACATAACATGTTCAACATAGAATGTTCTACGCATGTTTTACTCATCATGTTGTACACAACTTGTTTTATGCATCATGTTGTACACAACATGTTTTACATAGAATGTTCCATGCATGTTTCACGCATCATGTTGTATATAGCATATTGTACATAACATGTTCTACATAGAAAGTTCTATGCATGTTTTACGCATCATGTTCTACACAGCATGTTGTACACAACATGTTATACATAGAATGTTCTACGCATGTTTTACACAGCATGTTCTACATAGAATGTTCTAGGTAGCATGTTCTATGCAACACAAGTAAAGTCAATCACAACAAGATTCAGTTATACAAGAAGGGTCAGGCTGCGAGGGTCACCTCTCTATCCAGAAGTTGAGAGGGGAGTCGGGGGACGTGGGCGCGTCAGAGGGCGAGGGGGCGACCGCGTGTCTGAAGCCGTGCACCGCCAGCAGCGCCGCCGTCTGCACGTCTGACGTGCGGTCCACGTAGCGCTGCACCAGCGACACGCCCTCGTCACTCATGCCTGTGTACGTCAGTAATTACGTCAGCTTAAACGTTACAGCAGTAATAAATAATTAAAATGTGACGCAGTTAAGCACGGCAGTAATTACGTTTCAGCTTAAATGAACGTTACAAGAGTAATAAATAACTAAAATGTGAGCCTGCGTACGTCAGTAATTACGTCTCAGCTCAAATGAACATTACAGGAGTAATGAATAATTAAAATGTGACGCAGTTAAGCACGTCAGTAATTTCGTCAGCTTAAATGTACATTAGAGCAGTAATAAATAATTAAAATATAACTCAGTTAAATCGAATCTTCCGCTTCAAAACGCAATAAACGAATAAATGCGCAAAACTACACATACTTGCAGTAAACGTGTGTATGAGTACGTTAAAAATGCATCAACATTCAGTATAGTTACGATTGCGCACGACGCAAACTCTTGCAGGAAATAAAGTACAGAGCGTACAACGTTATACAGGCACATTGCGCACAAATACAGCGGTTCTGTGTAAGGAACCCACCAGCGTGGACAAAATATTCAGTGTAAAAAATTGATGTATCAAATTGAGAAAAAAGATCAAAATTATATTTCATCGCTAACTAAATCTAAACACACATGACGCCTGGTGATCAACTTAGTGTACTTCGCTATGAATGAATGTGTGTTGAATAATATTTATCTTAAGAAGATAACATGAATGTGTCTCGAACAATATCCATCCTAACATAACATAAACGTACCTGGAATAATATTCATACTAAAATAGCATTAATATCTCATCGAATAATATTCATTTTAACAAAATAACATGAATGTATCTCAAAAAGAATTCATCATAAAATAGCATGAATATCAGACCAGTAAGCATGAGGCCCTGCAGGTCAGTAAAATAGCATGAATATCAGACCAGTAAGTATGAGGCCCTGTAGTTCAGTAAAATAGCATGAATATCAGACCAGTAAGTATGAGGCCCTGCAGGTCAGTAAAATAGCATGAATATCAGACCAGTGAGTATGAGGCCCTGCAGGTCAGTAAAATAGCATGAATATCTGACCAGTAAGTATGAGGCCCTGCAGGTCAGGACAGGGCGCCTGTGTCAGCTGCGTCAGGAGCAGCGTCAGGAACTCGGCGAGGCTGACGTCGCTCAGGAAGGTCAGGGCGAAGCCGATGCGATCACACACGCTCAGGTCGCTGCTCAGCTGACAAAATAAATATAATATGCATAATATTACAATATTTATACATGTAAATTTTATATAAAACATAAATACTGTGTGTATGATATTAAAATATTTATACACGTAAATTTTATATAAAACATAAATACTGTGTGTATAATATTAAAATATTTATACACGTAACTTTAATACCAAACTTACGATGAGTTGGACCAACACATTAAAATATTTATACGTACATGTAACTTCAATACAAAACATATGATGAGTAGGACGAATTTAATCACCACAAAGAAATAAATCCGAGACCGTGCGCACATAAATCGTATTTTTATAATAAAAAATGACACGATGTCAGCTGAGCTGATACTATGGGTGTTCGGTAAGTATTGAATTTCCCGACAGGGATACCATACAAACATCAGTCGTGTTCACACGGCGCATTTTAGAGCACAACTGAACTGTCAATTTAAATAAATTGCTCCCTCCCTACATCATTTCTAGTTGTGTATTGAAGCCAATAAAATAAACCTGATGAAAGAAACTGAGTAAAGTAAGAGGAAAACTTTAATTGATTCCAAATAAATGGCTCCGTTAATGTGTTAGACTTCTAGCCAAAGTGAGTACAGCACTCACCAGCAGAGGTGAGTATGACTCACCAGCAGGGGTGAGTATGACTCACCAGCAGGACATCTAGATGTGTATAAGAGACAGGCATGACTCACCAGCAGGGGTGAGTATGACTCACCAGCAGGGGTGAGTATGACTCACCAGCAGGGGTGAGTATGACTCAGTATCCTCGGTGAGGAAGGCGAACATGGCGCGTAGGTGGGGGTCGCTCAGCGACTGTCGCAGCGACGCGCACGTGTCGCGCCACAGCAACTTGCGCTCACCGCTGTACCCTGTGGCAATGATGTGACTAGTGACTAGTCCTGATATGTTGTGACTAGTGACTAGTCCTGATATGTTGTGACTAGTGACTAGTCCTGATATGTTGTGACTAGTGACTAGTCCTGCCATGTTGTGACTAGTGACTAGTCCAGCTGCAATGTTGTGACTAGTGCCTAGTCCTAATATGTTGTGACTAGTGACTAGTACTGCCATATTGTGACTAGTGACTAGTCCTGATATGTTGTGACTAGTGACTAGTACTGATATGTTGTGACTAGTGACTAGTACTGCAGCAATGTTGTGACTAGTGACTAGTCCTGCAGCATTGTTGTGACTAGTAACTAGTACTGCCACGATATAGTAACTAGCGACTAGTCCTGCCACGATATAGTAACTAGCGACTAGTCCTGCCACGATATAGTTGTGACTAGTGACTAGTACTGCAGCAATGTTGTGACTAGTGACTAGTCCTGCAGCATTGTTGTGTAACTAGCGACTAGTCCTGCCATGATATAGTAACTAGCGACTAGTCCTGCCACGATATAGTAACTAGCGACTAGTCCTGCCACGATATAGTAACAAGCAACTAGTCCTGCCACGATATAGTAACAAGCAACTAGTCCTGCCACGATATCATAACTAGCGACTAGTCCCGCAACATCATAACTAATAACTTATCACTAACGGTGCCGCCCCCCCCAGCACGGCGCCCCCTGACCTGCCAGAGCCATGGCGACGGCGTTGATGGCGGGGTCGTGGCGGTGGGCGGCGGCCGCCTGCAGGAGGCTGATGGCCCGCGGCAGATGCAGCTGGAACACCGCCAGCGCCGCCCCTCTGTAGGGCACATCACTCAGCACATCACTCACGCCGCCCCTCTGTAGGGCCTGTCTCTTATACACATCTAGATGTGTATAAGAGACAGGTCGGGATGAGCACCGCTCCCTATCGCCGTACGGCAAAAAATTGAATAAAAGCGACTCGTTCGCGATCTAGGAGTATTGATGAATACCCACGTCAAATTTGGTGATCACATAGCCGCAATAATTGCACGAGACAGGCAACAGATGGGGTGGATCTGGCGGACGTTCAAAACAAGAGAGGCGGAACCACTGACTACACTCATCAGAGCCCCTGTGAACCTTCTCCTTGAATACTGCTGCCAGCTATGGACCCAGTTCACGGTGGGCGCAGTGCGGAAACTGGATGCGGTCCAGCCAAGCTTCACGTCGAGGATCAGCGGGATGGAGAAGATGACACTTACTGAAGATGAGAGGTGCATCATCCTCTACACATGGCAAATAATAACAGAACTGGCCTAAACTTCGAAGACGAGACCTTCAGCAAGACGACTTGCCTGCCGGTGCTGAAAAACAGCGGAATACAAAGGCGGCGTGTCAGCGTGGCCTGGGACTGCTACGTCCGAAACATTAAGGAGGAAACATGGCCGACCTTTGTGTCCGTGGTGCCTGGGACTCCTATGTCCCAAACACTAAGGACCCTAAGGAGGTAACATGGCCGACCTTTGTGTCCGTGGTGCCTGGGACTCCTATGTCCCTAACACTAAGGACCCTAAGGAGGTAACATGGCCGACCTTTGTGTCCGTGGTGCCTGGGACTCCTATGTCCCTAACACTAAGGACCCTAAGGAGGTAACATGGCCGACCTTTGTGTCCGTGGTGCCTGGGACTCCTATGTCCCTAACACTAAGGATCCTAAGGAGGAAACATGGCCGACCTTTGTGTCCGTGGTGCCTGGGACTCCTATGTCCCTAACACTAAGGACCCTAAGGAGGTAACATGGCCGACCTTTGTGTCCGTGGTGCCTGGGACTCCTATGTCCCTAACACTAAGGATCCTAAGGAGGAAACATGGCCGACCTTTGTGTCCGTGGTGCCTGGGACTCCTATGTCCCTAACAC